AAAGAGTACAATTATTAAAAACAGTAAAATTAATAAACAAAGCAACAAAAAGAACACGCTCCCGGGTGGGCTTGAACCACCAACCTTTCGGTTAACAGCCGAACGCGCTAACCAATTGCGCCACGGAAACATATCAATCATGGAAATTTTTAATTATCTAAACAATATTTTAGTAGTTGATTAGATTATTAAAAAAAAAAAAAATTCAATATTGATTTTTGATATGTAGAATCTAATCATTTAGCACCATTTTATCCATAAATACAAACAAATATTCCTCCCCGGTATTGTTGGCCCTGCCTCGTGCTTTTTTTCGTAAAAATTTTTTAATAATGTCATCAAAATCAACATTTAGAAGAACTTCAGGTTCAATTGACATTTATAACAGACAGTTCAATTTTTACTGCAACATACTAGATCGGAGCTCATTTTTTATAAGTTTTAGTTTTGAAAATAATCGCTCACTAGTGCAATTTAAAAGCATTATTGAAAGAAAAATTCTCAAGCAAATTTCATATTAGGAAAAGTTGATTCCAAGTGGTTTATTTTGTTTATTGTGTAGTAAAATTTTGTGAATGAATGCTGTAATAACAAGTCTATATATGTTTTTTCTTACTGTCTTTGTGAATATCCTTACTCAATATATATACATATGCAAACACCCCCGAAGGTATAATAAATATTATAAACGTTATATACAATATAATATATGACGCACCCACATTGTTCCTTCTGACGCAACACTATTATAATTTATATATAATACAGTTATTTACACTAATTGCAATACCCCTTGATCTCTAGATCACAAAGCCCGCATACTTATTTGGAAGCTTCGCACACGCGTCGATCTTCTGAGATTCAGGTTATTCGTGATGGGTTTTTCCGATTCTCTAGTAGACAAGTCAGTTACAAAGGAAGCAGGACGGACGTCCGACATGTGTCTCGGCAATTAATTGATTTCTACCGAAACTCCTCGTCCTTCATCTGAGACAAATGCTTTTTGTCAAATGTGTATACTTGTTGAGAACTTCCTCGTTAGTTTTGGAAGAAATTGTGTGTGGTTTCCACTCATTGGAAATTATAGCTTTGTATAGGAGCGATGTTTTCTCGCCATTTTTTCTGGGAACCACGTTATACCAATATACCATTTTTAACGGATCTTTGCCACGTCTGGCTGCTATACGTTTGATTGTGCGATGGTGACGCTCAACAATTCCATTTCCAGATGGCCTGTAAGCGCAACAAAACATGATGGACACTCCCCATTCTGCGCATAATTCACCGACAAGTTTTGAGCGAAAAGCTTTTTTCAAGTAGAACTTGCCATGGAGGTCCTCTTTCTCAGTTGTTTCTTTCTCGTTCTGTAGCATTCTCCAAATTTCAAACTTGCTCCTTTTGCCACAGTCAATAATAGACATATAAATCTCGGATTTTTTTTTTGTATGTATTTAGGTGCTCCCAGAAGTCCTATGATAAGACCGTAATCTTATCATATGTATTTAGGTGCTCTATGATAAGGCCGTAACATAGCGTTCTCTACTACAGGCCTATTCATCGCGCAACCGGATTTTTTTGTGGAGGCCTACTTTTTTACGGCGAAAAAATTATTTTTCCACGTTCAGACAAGATGCAATGTCATGTCGTTTATGACAAACATTTAAATAATGGAATATAATACAATGTTAATAAACTTATATAATTTAAACATAGAGTTGCAGATATAATTTAAAGCAAATAATATATTTATAAAATTTAGATTAAATCATCATGCCAAATAAATGTTGTGTGTATGCTTGTCACACCAACTATCAAAGTGAAAAAAACAAAATATCTAGTGAAGTTAATAAAATATCAGTGTGTCGGTTTCCAAGTGATAACGTTGAACGTGAAAAATGGATAAAAGCTATTCCAAACTCTAATTTGGTTGTTACCAAGTATACTGTTATCTGTGAGTTACACTGGCCTCCAAATTTTGATACAGTTATAGTGCGTGGAGGAAAACGTCGACCAAAAAATCCTCCTTCTGTTTGGCTAGGAATACCTTTATCTCAAATTCCAACTGGTTATCCAACTGAAAGATCTACCAAAAGATCTTTAAGTGGCATTAGAAGTATAATAGATGATGAGCTAGATACATTTCTTAAAAGGGATAAAGCTACTTTTTGTGACATTAAAAACAAGTTTGTTGATAGCAGTGATCACCAATATCCAGTTATATCGTTTATGGTTGATGGCTATGTTGTTATACAATCTTTGCAATTTTTTAATGGAATACCTTTTTTTGTACTTAAAATTTATGAAAATCTTACCTTTGAAACATTTCATTATGAGATTAAGTGTCACATTTCTAGCTTAACAGTAAATCGAATCTTAACTGTTGACTCCTGGTCTAAGTTTGATGAGATACTTCGTTTTTTAGGCTCTTTAAAAATTGATCATAAAAAAGAAGTAATTATGCAACATGTTTCAGTTATGGGACCAAAATTAGTTGGAGATAAACTTTATACACCTGAAATACTTATACGCTCTTTTGTATATTTCTTAACATCAAGGGCATTATATAATCGCTTAAGAAATGATTATCAACTTCCATCTATTTCAACACTGACTCGAATTACTTCAAAAATTTCTAATATTAATGAAAAAAAATTTATTTATTCAATTTTTAACTCTCTTCCGGATAAGCAGAAATTATGTATCATACTACATGATGAAATATATGTTAAAAAAAGTTTGCTTTACCATGGTGGAACTATTTTTGGTAGATCGGAGGATAACCCAGTGGAATTGTCCAAAACATTGTTAGGGATTATGGCTGTTTGTTTAAATGGGGGTCCAAAGGTGTTAATTAAAATGATACCAATATCAAAATTACGATCTGAATTTTTGTTTGAACAGATTAATTTAACTAGTCAAATAATTGATTCAGTCAGTACAAATGTAAAAGCTATTATATGTGATGGGAATCGTGTCAATCAGGTTTTTTTTAAAATGTACACATTTATTCCGGGAAAACCATGGTTAACAGTAGATGGAAAGTATTTACTTTTTGATTTTGTACACCTCATAAAAAATATTCGTAATCTTTGGTTAACTGAAAAAACTCAGGAATTAATATTTGACGATAACGGAGTAACCAGGATTGCAAAATGGACTCATTTAAAGCAGCTTTACAATGCAGAATCCAGAAGATTTCTAAAGTTATCTGACCTGAATGAAACTTCTATTTCTCCTAAACCTGTTGAACGACAGTGTGTATTAACAGTTTTAAGAGTATTTTCAGAAAAAACTTATGCTGCTCTTTTGCAACATCCTGACATAATTCATATTGATGTTAACGACACTTCTATATTTATTAATAAAGTTATTATTTGGTGGAAAATTTTAAATGTCAAAGCCATTGGTGCTAATACAAGGCATAATGATCCTTTGCAGGCTGTCATCAACAATCCTAATGACAATCGTTTAAATTTAATACTACAATTTGGTGATATGGCACTTAAAATGGCAGGTCCCAAAGGTAAGCGTATTAAACAGCTTTCTAAAGATACTGCAACTTGTATACATTAAACTTGTTATGGACTAGTAGATTTATGTAGATATTTACTTAACACTACGCAAAACTATGTACTTCTTGGTCAATTTACTTCAGATCACCTGGAAAAAGAATATAGTATACTTCGTCAAGGTTCTGGTGGTACATATTTTCTTAGTGTTCAACAAGTTATTGAAAAATTACGTATCAAACATGCATCTTTACTTTTGAAGTTAAATGTAGATATTGACAATTTTAATGTGAAGTCTGGTCATCAATGTGCGTTATGTGATTACAAATTGTCTGAAGACTGCTGCGAAATTCTTGATAACTTGCAAGATCTAGAATCTTCTATTGCTGATGATGTTATAATGTCACTTATTCACATTGCTGGTTATGTTACACGAAATGATAAAGAACAAACTGATTATGAACTTTTAGATCAAACAACGTTCTATTATCAGAAATATGGTCAGTTTTCTAAATTTTTGGATCGTGGTGGATTAAAAATTCCAACTGATAATTCATGCCAATGGACATTTTTTTGTTTTGTAGTTTTTCAAATAGTTAAAGATCATGTATGCCGAAAATCTTTAAGTAGTATTTTTATGATTATATCAGACTATTATTTATTGGATATGGAAGAACATCATTGTGTAATATTGAGCAACATTTTTTTAAAAAATTTATGTTCCACTGTCACTTCAAGATCTGGCAAAGAACCTGCACTAATGTTATTAAAAATCTCTTAAAAGTCTACTTAGTTGTCTACTGTTTATAATATATTCAGTATACTTTTTTATAAAAGATTTATAAAAGTTTCATATATTAGTTGTTGTTTTTTTCAGATTTTGTTAACAATTTTAATCAAAATTTATCTAATATTTTAACATATTATATTTTTGTATTTAGCTGTTAAAGCCAAAACTCAAGGTAAAATAATATAATTATGTAAATGTGTGAAATTTGAAAAATTTTTTTTGCCTTTTATTTACATTGTTTATTACTTAATATTAATTTTCTTTTTTCATCAAAAAAAATTATTAGGCTATACAGAAAATTAAAATTACTTTTTAGTTTTAAAATTACGAAGTTATTATCTTTTTTGCCGTAAAAAAGTAGGCCTCCACAAAAAAATCCGGTTGCGCAATGAATAGGCACCCGATCCTAAGTAAAATTTGTCGATCTCATCGAAATAAAATATCTCTGTGTTTTCCGATCTCATCAGCCGTGTATTTGCCACACCGCCACACATGTGATATTATTTTTCGATGTCATCGAATTATGTGTTCATAATATAAGTTCATGAAAAAAATAATACAAATAATGGCGGTCAATATTTTGCGGCAATATAATGTACTATTTTAATTATAATATATTATGGTAATATAAAAAAATATAACATTTTCTTAAATTTGATTTATTTTAACTTTATTTAGATTAATGTCTAATATATAATGCTTTATTATCAATTTAAACAAGGTAATGTGTATTTAATATTCAGGCGAACTTGATTAAAAGGTATAACGATGAAACTGATTCTAAAATATTTTTCTTACTCATTTATTACTGCTTTGTTCTTAAAAAATATTGAACACTCTATTTGTAAAATATACTCAAATAATTTATAAATAAATACAAGAAATATTTTTAGGCTCTCTCAGAGACTCTGAAAATTGACCTCTCTGCGAAGAAATTACTAAAAAGTAAAAATACTTTTTGCTTTTAATTTAATAATAACTGCAGACTGTGTAAAAAAAATGCACTTAAGACACTCAAGTCTAGTGCAAGTTTTAATTAATTTCTTTTTTAAATGAACATCAGTTCTTCGCTTTTAAGCTTCTAATTTTTTGCTGTGTTGCTCAATAACTTGTAAAAATGCTGTTATTGTTTTCTCTGTTTGATAGAAGTGATGAAAAATTTAAACATTAGCCGTTTCCTGACTGAGTTACCAGTAATGCAGAGCCATTGTTTTAAACCAATCATACTTATACTGCTTCATAATAGTTTTTTTAGTCTTTTGATCAACTGTATGTCGTTGTTGGGTGCATCCAGAGTAGTTTTGCATGAAAACCATGCTTGAATGAAGACCTCAGCTAAAAATCTATTTAAACGCTGAATGTTTTTATTGCCATTGTATAACAGATCGTGTATATGGCCTTTGCCATCAATATGAAGTAAAAAGTCAGGTCAGGTTATCCTTTAAACGTCAAGTTAGGTTATCCTGATACTGGTAACATGAAATCCAGTACAACCTGCTTCCTGTTAACATCAGAAAGGGCATCTGATTGTAAAACATTGCTTTAACTCTCTCATAATGGCATTAATTTCATAATGAAAACCCTCCAAACCACACAAGTGTCAAAAAATAGAAGTAAAATTTACAACAACAACAAAATGGCCATATGAACGACACCTGATCTTCTGATAGTTGCTTCAATTTTTAAACCTATCAAATAATCAGCTAAAATCTGAAAAAATGCTAGATTAGAGGACAAGAAATGCAGTCTTTAGAGTAAAAGAAAGTTATACACTGCATGCACACAGTCTCATAATATAAGGCATAACATAGGCAATAAAGGTTGATTGTCTTGAAAGAACAGCGAAGAAGATGATTAGTTGGATATAAAAGATGACTGAAAAGAAAGAGTTAATAAATATTAATGATATATATTAAGATGTGTCAGAGTAGATGAAGCTGGTTTAGGCATGTTGTATAATACGCCATATTTGATTACGTATTATACAATCACGCATTGAAGATAATTACAATCATCATGCTAATGACCGTAAAGGACTTTTATTATAGGCATTGCGTTTACGTTTTTTAATGTTAGTTATGAAGAGAATAAAGTTGAGTCGCGAACTTTGTTATTATACACATGTAGATGATTGTAATGCAAATAATTGGGTATCAGCATGTAGAGTTAGCAGTTTAGTCAAAAAAAAATAGAATTAGAAAAACTTGCAGATATTATGTTTCTTTTTTAAGAGTATGTTATAGATTACATGGAAAAACCTCAGAAAAAAGATATATAAGATAATAGATATTTGAATAAATAGCATTATGAGAAACCTCCAACCAAGCAAGCACCGATACACTGAAAATAATATGACAATGAAGATAATGTTTACCCAAAAAACTCCTAAGAGATATATAAAATTTAGTTAATTTTACATTTAATTGTTATCAAAATACAGGGTAAAAATATTGCCATTTCATCGGTTGGTAAATTGGTAAACTGATTAAAAAAGCTGTTGCCAATACCCATTGTACAAAAAGTGGCCATAAGTAAACAAACTATTGCTATATGTTGCAGTGGATGTCCAGTCCGATTCATATACTTATACTTTTACTTTGTGCCCTTTTTATCATTTCAGATGATTGATAATTAGTATTTATCATTCCGGAAAAAAAAAGATTTTGTTGGTAGGAGGTAGGGAGGATGGTGGGAGCCATTCATCAAAGGTTAGTTTTTTCTAGGACACTGTAATATATATGCTTGCTAAATAATAATTATATATTTATATATAAAAAAAGCCAATATTTAATGTCGTGGTAATAAAAAGTTCCCTTTTAATACTGTAGTTATTGCGTAGTATTAGTTAAAACTATTGTTTTGAAGATAGCAAAATAAAAATAAATCATTATTTTAATAATCTAAACTTTACACTTGTATTTATCAGATATAAAAATATATTTTATTCCTGGTAAAGTTAGCAACCTATAATTTAAAAAATTTTTAGGTTGCTATATCAGTGGAATATATATATATATATATATATTATATATATATATATATATATATATATATATATATATATATATATATATATATATATATATATATATATATATATATATATATATGCATGTATGTTATATATATATATATATATATATATATATATATATATATATATATATTATATATATATATATATATATATATATATATATATATATATATATTAGGGTGGTTCTTAAAACACCGACCGAAAGTTTCAAAAATAATATTCATTTCGAAAAAAAAATACTTATTTTATTTTTTACTCATTAAACACCATTTAAAATTATATATTATAGTTTTATCACAACTTTTGATATTAAATGGAAAATATAAAAATTGCATCTGTGGAGCACATTCTTGTAAAAAAGTTTAATGAAGGTATGAATGGGTGTGGCAAGCGCTGCTTATCTTTAATTACAGAAGTAGCTGGTGAAACTCATTTATCCATAAAGACAGTTAAAGTATTAATTTTTTTATGTATTTATTATTTAAAATTATAATTACAATTTCATATTATATGCAATTTTAATCATTATTTGTTTTTAGTGTTTTTAACAACAAAACATTAAAACTGACAGTTGTTTGTCTACGTTCTAAAACTAATTTCTAAAATTAACTATTTATATTTTATTTATAATACATACAAGTAATGGTAAAGTTTATGTTAAAATATGAAGGCAAGAGCATACTGCAAGAGCAATCAAAGAGTGCTAACCTTAAAGTAAAGTTTGATGTGCATCAGGGTTCAGTGTTTACAGTGCTTTACTTTTTTAAACAATTAATACAAGCTGTTTTTGTTTGCTCATTCTAGACTTTACAAACGTAAGTTTTTTATTACCTCATTTTTTCTTTACTTTTTTTTTGCTTCAATTCCATTCTTCCAACTACCTTTTCCCCAACTTCTATTTTTCCAATTTCATTTTTCAATTCTATTTTCCCAAGTTATGAAAATGTAATTGAAGCAAAAAAAATTAAGAAAAGCTTAAATTATAAAAAATTTATGCTTTGTAAAGTCTAGAATGAGCAAAAAAAGATTAAGGTGGTTTGAGTACGTAGAATGTAAAGGTGTTGCTAATTGTGTATAGCATACATAGTGAACAATGAACGAAAAACAATGATTTTAAAATGATGAGAATTACAGGAATTAATTTTTTCTAGTTATTTATTTTATATACAATTTGACAAGTATGAAATTTATAATAAAATATTAATTGTTAAACCATAAATATAGATTTTAATCATCTAAGCTCATATTACATTTTTTTAGAGCTGGATTGCTAGGCACAAAGCAAAAAGCCGAAAATCAGATGTGGATTTTAGTGTTAAACAAAAAAGAAAAAAAGTGTCTATAAATACTCAGGTGCTAAGGGGGTACGATTTATGGAAACAAAACCAGTTATTGTCATTGGAAGGTATTTTTTGCAGTAAATTTAATCTTTACTATTATTATAATAATTATCTTTATATTCTTTTTGTTTACTCAATATGGATTCTTCATCAACTTTCTCTTCTTTTTTGTCAAACTTATTTGTTTAAACCAACTTTTCTTTTTGATATTGGATAGCTTGTGAGTTTGTTTTTTCAAAAAGTCTTTTAATTATTTTTTTGTTATTATCTTGGAAATTTAGTTTTTATACTTCATTGTTATACATATTCAACTTGTTTTAAATTTAAAAAATTTAATGTTTATTTTATTTAAAATAATATTTTTTGTAACGAATGTATTGTATACTTTTTGATAATTGTTTTTACAATTGTTTTTACCTATAATAATATATACTCTATCAATAATTGTTTATTAAACTAGATTCAGATTTTGATAACAGAAATTTTTGTTTCAAAAATCTTGGTCATAACTGGTCGTTGTTAACAAACAATGAAAAAGAAAGCTGGAACAAGAAAGCTTTATTACAAAGAAACAAATTACTTCCTCTCACTAAAGAAGAAAAAGAAATTAAATCTAAAAAGTTGTTAAAACAGTTGAAAAAAGTTGTATGTTTAATTTAATTATAATTAATTACCATAAATTATTATAAATAATAGTTTCTAAAAGTTTCGCACCCTTTATATAACTTGTTTATATATTTTTTATTTAGGTGGAAGAGTTAGCAAATATGGGCAATGACGTTGTTGCGGTTACTTGGTGGTGCTCCTGTTGTAACTGCAACCGAAAGAGGGTGCCAATTTTGACTAAATTCTGAAGAATTAAACTTTCAGTTTAAATTTGCTGAATTTTTGAAAGGTATTTAAATTATTAAGGTACTAGTATATGTTCACAATAATTTAACATAAAGTTAAAAGCTTCATTTTTAATTTTAGCTCCAATAGTCAATAAGGAAATGGTTGAAAAAAATAAATTATGTACTAAAGTTGCAGATATTTTGAATAAAAAATATGGTATAACTTTACATTTGTAATGCTTGTTTTTTAATTTTTTCCTATTTCTTAATTAATCTAATAAATATTATTAGAAATTAGTCGACTTGCTTTGCCAAAACACTTGCAACAAAGATTTCGAAAATGTCATATTCCATACAAGAAATATGTTCCCACTATTATTAGTGCTCATGGCTTACCTGATGGACAGGTTTTAAGATATCCATCATCAATGGGAACAGCCTTGTTAGCTAACATTGTTGAAAATCAAAATGAAATTAATATTGTTTTTGACTTGACAAGTTAGTTTTTTTTAATTATATTGTACAAAGTATGAATAATATTTACATAGCATTTATATTAGAGTAGTACTAGTATATATTTGTTACAACAAAAGTAAAAATATTGACATAGTACAAGTCATTGATTGTCAGATTGCAGTTAGTTAAAAAAATTGCTGTATTTTTCACATTGAAGTATCTCTCTGTGATTAGTTTGTCTTATGTCTTTGTGGCTCTGAGGTGTACTAGCTCAATAATTTGCAGGGTTGCATGGTTTTAACTGAATGGTTTTAAAAATGTTGGTTTAAACTAAATTAATAGTTTTTGGGTTTTTTTGAAAACCTTGCTGTTACTTAACATTGCTTATTAAATGTACCAGTTTCTAGTGCTGGAATCAAATGAATTTGTTTAACTTATGGAATGATGTATTGAGTTATTTCAACGAAAAATAACAGTAATATTGATAAAGAATATAATTTACCCAAGTAAAATTTGCAATGATTTTTTTTTTTAATTTAAAAGTATAACTATATAAACCGTTTTTAAATAAGATCAATTTAAACCAAGGTTGTTGTTGTTATTTTGTTGTTGTTATTAACCCATGCTTTTCGGTTTTTAAAAAAAGGAACAGTTTTTTCACAACCCTGATAAGTTGTTCAACCTTCAACAAATGTGGGTTCCAATCTGGAATTGCAAAATTAAGTAAATGATGGGCATAAGACATAGTGGAATTTTATTTTATAATATATAAATAGTATATAATACTTTGATAAGTTTATTATTTTAGTAGATACTGTTATATTTATTATAAAATTAGAAATATTCTGCTTGAATTAACTTGCTTTCAAATTTATTTATCTAAGACACTAAAAGAAATAAAATAGTTTTATATTTTGTTATTTAAAACAATTCAAACAATATGCTTCTTTTAAAGGTTTATTGCATATGGAATACAATTCATTTGAAACACATTTATGTTGTAAGTCATTACAGTTTTTCTTTTACTTTTCTAAATAATTCTACATTTAATTTTGTATTCGATTTTTGTTTACAATTTTTTAATCTTTAGCAACGGAAGTTAATAGCGACTTAATCGAGTCTTCTATGTTTGCTAATACTGAATTATTATCAACAGAAATAGGTAGTTTTATTTATTTTTAAGTTTAATGTTCAGGAAACATAAACACAAAACTTTGTTTTAATAGGTCTCCACAGGTTTCTATAAAGACCTTTCTTTGACACTATGAAGGAGTTAATTATAAAACCTGATTGTTTTCCTGGTATTAACTTGTTTTACATCAGAACTGAAAGATCAATTTCATGTCATGATAAGGACATCTGTCATTTATATCATTTCTTTGTTAAATTTGTATAAAGCTGTTGCTTTTTTAGATAATTAAAAAAAAAATACTTTTTAGATTGTGAATTTCAACCAGTGAGAATATCAAACTCAAACGTAAACGAATTAAATTTGTCAGATGTTCAGTCTGCTTTTTGTTCTGATGCAGGTTAGTATTTTTTTTCTTTTCTTTTAATGAACTATTTGTTTATTTGTTATTGTCTGTATGCTAATGTGATATTAGATTTATTAATACTTTATGGTAATAAATCAAAGGATTACCATTACAATTACAATTAATAATTAGCTGTTTTATGTTTATAAATGATGCATTTATTATCTTCATCTTATTCCTAATCATGTTTTAGCATCCGTGTTCATTGCATCCATGCCTGCATAGATAGCATTCTAATTATCCGATTTTCTCCAATATACAAGAACTTTCACTCTAGCTGTAACTGAAGCTTTTTCATGTCACCTTTGTAATAATCTTCAGGGTAATTGTAAACAATGGACACAACAAGTATAGTTAAAGCCTATAGTATGCCATCTTTATTATATATCATTACAGCATTTGAATACATTTTGTGTTGTGCTTAGCCAAATAAGGCAAGAGTCTGTTTTCTTCTTTTTTAGACTATATTTTTAAATTAGTGTCTTTTAATGCCCAGGGATCTGGGGGCTATCCTATGATGCCCATGTTTCACCCATAATATTTCAACAATTTATAAATAAACCCTTTCATTATATGAAAATTACTATATTGTAATTTATAGTATACTAATATTTATATGTAAGTTCTTGAAAAAATATGTATTGCCTTTAAAAAAAAACATTCTGCTTTTTATCATGTTTTGAGAAACTAGCTCTCCTCGGTAGTGCTTCGAAACGCTATAAATAAAGCTGAAATAACCCACATGATATTAGGCCACTTGATATTTTAACCCACATGACATTAGGCCACATGATAATTTGCAGGTTGAATGCAAAGTCCTATGGCTTACCTTCTCTTAGGTGCACTTCGTTAAATCAGTTACACAAGTAATGTCTAGTTTCTAATTTATGAACTTAAGAAGCCAAGGCAACACCCATAAAATATCTTGCATCCGCCCCTGACGAGGGCATTAAAACCATAAATGAAACAATAAGAAAATTTAAAAAAAAAAGATTTTATATTATTAATGCTTTTGTTAGATTTGATATTGGATTATTTATTTATTTATTCCAGAACAAGTTGTAATAACATCCAATGAAGTTTGTATGGATCACGATTATGTTTAGGCGAACTTCCTTCAATTAAGTAACAATTTTTAAATTTTTTTATTTTATAAATGTATTTTAATTTTGTTCAAATCCTCTTCTTTGTCTTGATTATTTGAGTTCGTTTTAGTATTTGAACCTCATTTGAAATTTTCGCATTCCGTATTTTATATTTGCTTAATTTTTAAACGCTCTTAACTCATAAAAATAATGAATTGGGACATAAACTTGTCGGTTTAGTATTATAAAGTTATATCTGATATTTTTAATTTTGATATAATTTAATTTTTAATTGTTAAAGGTTTTTGTGTTATTGTTAATTATTTGTGTTTGATAACTAAGGTTATATTATATATATTATAGTTAAGAAAATATATGTTATAAATAATATAATATGTATAAAGAAACATAGATTATATTATATACATTATAGTTAAATATATATATATATATATATATATATATATATATATATATATATATATATATATATATATAATTATACTATATAAATAAACATACATTATATTATATATTTCTTTAAATTTGATAGTGTAGACTTTTTATACGCTTTAATTACAATTCTTTTTGTGTTAACGGGGAATCCGGACCATTTAGTAAGGGGGCGATTTTAAAATGTTTTTGATTTCTAGCCCTAACCCTTGCGATCCCTCTTCCCCCCCCCCCCCCCACACACACACACACACAATTAAATAGATCCGCCCTTGTTTTGTGTTTCGGTATACAATATCATGAATATTAAAAGTACTTGCTAAGTTTCGCTAAAAGGAAATGCAGGAATACCGCTTAGTTATACCTAATTAGGTTCGTCTATCACTTACACTAACCTAAATTTAGCTTAAAAAATTCGGAAAATATCAAAATTTTCGCAGAGTTATTAATTCAATTTAAACCAAAAGTTCTGAAGTGATTTAAGCTCTATAAAAATCACCGCGCAAAATAGCAAAATTTTAACTTTAAAAAGTTTTTTAACTTTTATAAAAATAAAAAAATTTTAGAACATATTGTCGAAATTAATAATAACTATTAATAAATTAAAGTTCTCATCAGATATTTGTAAAGTAAACATTACAATATTGTTTAGAAAATAAAAGGTTTTAGAATTTTTTTTCCAACCAAAGGGGCATCTATAAAGTACATACGCAGTAAAATCACTGATTTGTTGTCAATCATTTAACTTAAAATGTTACAACATGTTGTAACACTTTAAGTTAAATGATTAAAAAAGACATTTTCCTGTCTGGCCATAGTTGAAATCCAGACGGGACATATTTGGCATACTTTTACGCACTTTTGAGAATCACAGTATTAGGTACAACAATCATAGATATACCACAATCAATTTAATAATCTAAATAATTTTCTTTATTCTTATAACTTCCATGGCAGCATTTCTTTTACTTTACAAGGCAATTAATTTATAAGTATTGCTAGAAAAAAGATTGTGGCATGTTCATTATAGATGTTTACATTGATTCTCAATATTTGCTAATCTCTTTGTAAAGCAAAAGTAAGTATATTTTATCATTTATAATAGAATTGTTTTTGTTTTGAAAAATGTTCTTTAAAAGTACAACTACTGCAAGAAACTTAAAAAACCAACAAAAACCCTTAACTCTTGATTGATAATGATGCTTGGAAAGCCTTCTACAACATACATTCAAAATAGCACACTTGTTAACATCTGTTATGTATTCAAAAACACGGCAAAACACATAAATATAAGAAGTGTTACAAAAATACTTCCTTATTTTAATCACTAAATAGGTAGTAATAAAGTTGCTAAAAATTTTTTTGGTGTCAGGGTTGTCCAAATTTTGACAGCTGACAGCTGTCAAATTTTTTTTTGTGATATCACACTTATCGTAACCCACTCCCTCCCCCATGTCACAAAGTGTCACAAATGTCTCCTCCCCCCCTCACCCTAGAAGCGTGACGTACTTTATGGATGACCCCTATGTGCAAAATTTGAAAGTTCCAAGTCTTCTGGATTCTATCTTATTTTAATTTTATTTTTTTAACATATAATTTACTATGAAACATAAACTTGGACGGATCATAATTAATGAAATTTTAAAACGAGTGTTCGCAAAAACATTGAAATAATCCAACGGCAATCGATTTAAAAAGTCGTTTTAAAAAGACATCTGTATGTTGAAAAATAAGGTTTAATTATATGTAAGTATGTAAAATATGGTAGACCGGGGCAGGTTGGCCAAAGGGTTATGTTGGTCCAAACAAGTATTCAACCCTCTTTCCAAATAAATTCATACTTATTGGATCATTTTTGGAATTTTGAAAGCGTGAAACATTTTTAACGTTTGTTTGCCGTTAATATGCCTGTTGTTTGACAGTACTGAACTATCTTAATGCTAAATTTTAAGCTTATAACTTAAGGAATATTTTAGTATATAAAAGAGTCACGTTGGCCATATATAAAAACCGATCTTCGACAAAAACACTTTTTGTTAAATGGTTTTTTGTGCATTTCTAATAATAATATTTTGTAATCTGAAATGTTTTGAAAAGAAAAATCAAACTTGAGCTGTTTACTTAATATCAATTTTATGTTTTTTGTATTATTTAGAGGGTTTTATACTATAAAGTATGTAAGGTCCGACACACTTTAAATTTCTAGTTCGATTTTTTTTTTATTAATATAGATAAAATATATAGTTGTGCGAAAAAAAAAATATTTTAAAAATTAGGCTTGACCCATTTTATACCCATGAGCCAACTTACCCCGATAGCGGGGAGACTGGCCCATCAAACATGATCTTACAAAAGCAATTTAAAATATACTGCAAACTATTACGAATTTTTTATAATGTTAGTTTTTGGTAGTCTTGGGTCTTGTTAACCTTTCTCTACAAATAATTGATTAAAAAATGAAAAGCTAAAAAGTTACACGTCAAAGAGAAAAAAGCAGGCCAACGTGCACCGGTCTACTCTAAAGTACATTTTAAATGTTTTAATTATACGTACGTATGAAAAATCAAAAATAGTAGTTTGTAAAAGCAATATGTACAAATCAAAATAATTTAAGGGTTGACTCTAAATCTTTTATTTGATTGAAGGAAAACTTAATTCTGTGGTTATAGGTTATTAATTTATAATGTTTATTTATAATCTAACTTTATGATAACTGGTATAGACAGTGGTCTTTCGTTTTCTTCATTAGAGTTATAATTTCTTCATTTGTTATTTTGTTTTTAAAATTTAATTTATTAATTTCCTTTATTACCAAAAATTGTAAATAAAATCATTTTAACTGAAGTACAACAAATATTATAATTAAATGTACTAAATTTAATGACTAAAGGATTTTTAAAAAATTACCACGACAAGTTGTGATTATAAAGTAGGACATGAAAGAAAACTAGTACCAACTAAAAGCTATATCTGGGTTTCCATAGAAAAAATATGAAAACAAGAACTTTCGAGGAACTCTTTCCAGGATATTGGCCAAAACTTCCTGCCTGCCAATGGTGTTTCATAAAAAAAGAAATTTTAGATAAAATTTTAAAAAATCAATTTCTTAAAAGTCTAAACATTTTTTTATTTGAATTTTGCAAATGAAAAGATATTGAATAAAACTTTATTAACGCATGAAAAGTCATACTTAATACAAATTTTTCTGAAGATTATTTTAAAAATTCCATAATTTTTTCAATTTTTTAAAAAAAAAAAAAAACATTCTAGGACTTTCCAAGACAGTAATACAATTCCAGGAATGAGGGAACACTGTATAGTTTAATTGTATACCATTTTTTTTTTTTTTATTTGATTTTTTTTTCGATGTTGAAAATACCTAAGTCTAATCTTAAGCTAACGTGTCGGTTTGACACGTTAAGATCAACGTGTTAAACCGACGCGACGAAAATGTTTGACACATCATTTTAGATTTAAATGACTCAGTTCGCACAGATCCAAGATGGTGCAAAATGACCAAAGATAGATGTCTTATATCATTACTCACTTGGTCGACTACAAACACAAAAACGTTTAACCAAGTAAAAAACCGTTTCAATTGTATGTTTCAATTGGAAGAAAAAAGGTCTCTCTCGGACCAATAGCAAAATAAATTTTAACTTCAAGGCATCTAATTTACCGAATATTTAAAAGTGATTTGTCAGGCATACAAAAAAAGAATAACTACTTATAGATTACGTTAGCAAATTGGGTGAGAAACAATTTTTGAACACAAAAATAATCATTATGAACTTTGTTTGATTGTGTTTGGAAATTTAATACAAAACAATTTCTTAAAAAAAATTATTACAAATTTTGCTTGACGCATTGCTTCGCATGTCTATGAATAATGGAAACTTGCATCAACAACTTTTTTGCATCAACAAAATAGTTTTAAAAAGAAAAGAAAACCCAAAAGGACGAATTAGATCGATATCAAAATAAATTGTTTGGGCTAAAACAATGTACGCGGTAAATTTATTAAATAACTCATTTTAAAGCCAAATATAATATTGTGTAATAATAAACATTTTTCATTGACGTTCATTTAAGAGAAACAACGCAAAACTTTAATTCAATTTTAAAATGTTGCCGAGGTAAATAGTAATTTTGTGAGTCCCTCAGAATTTGTTTGCCGAGGCCTAAAAATATGAATTTTTTAGAAGAAACGATTAACTAATAAAAAAGCAGTATTGCAGGGATCCCGGAACATATTAATTTGCAGGGTGATAATTAATAAAATGAAAATGTTGTTATTAATACAGAAATAGATTTAAACAAAAAAAAAAAAATTAATTTATTGCTATAAAACTGTGCAGGTCATCACCGCTTGGCTCCCGCGGTGTTATGCATTCATCCGACATAATATAAAATAAATAAAGTATGTTTTATTATAATGGTAAACATTTATTCAAATTCTAAATCACTATCATCCGATTCACTACTTAATTCATCTTCAAAGTCGTTTAACAACAGAGTCTTTATTTCACTTGAAGTATCCGAATTAAGATAAGGACAAAAAGCCTCAGAAAAACAATTTGTTTTAAAAGTTAAAGCATCTATTTCATTCAGTAATCTTGCTTTCCACCCATTATCTTCAGTATTATCTTCAAGTAATGTGAGAGCTTCCTTAAATTCATTTATTTTAGTTTGGTTAAAATTTATTACGTTTTTCATTTCGCTTTTAACCATTTCGATTTCTTCGATAGCTCTACAGTTCAATTGGAACAACTCAATACACTTTCGTTTAACTGTTACGGGGATGGCGAAATCGGAACTTTTTTGTGTCCAATAATTTTTCCAAAAAACACTCTCCAAATCACCAACCTCGTCCCAAACAACTACATTTTTTAAAAACTTGCTGGGATAAATTAAAACTATAGAATTATACTCCTTGATCAGATCTTGCAAACTCTTATTATTTTTATTCAGCTGCTTAGTAAGCTTTATAGCAATTTTCTGGCCGTCTAAACAAAGAAAATCATAAATAAATGTTTTCAATTTGAAAATTATAGGCTTTCATTAAACATTTCAAGTAATTTTAAATTAACTTTTTACCTGCGTATTTTTTTTTCAAATTACCAAGAAATAACTTTTGAAATGCAAAAGATTGCATTTTTAGCATAATATTATTCTTTTTTCTTTCAAAGACAGTTGCTAAGGTGTCCTTAAAAAAAGCATTGATTGGATCCCACCGAACATTTATTTTTAATTTCTTCTCTTTAATACTGAGTTCTCTTTCAAGCCTGATATAACACACAAATGTTGTTTAAAAAAGATAAATATAACCATTGCTTCAGAATATTGTTTTTGAAAAAGTATTACCGTTCTAGTTCTATGTTTATATCTGGATTGCTTGTCGTAGTTTCAATATCTTTTCTAATAAATAAAAAATAAAAAAATACCAAATGCAGTTATGTAATTTTTCTTCTTTTAATCTAATATTAATTATATATAACAATATCAATTAAACAAACAAATAGATAAACAGGTTAAATATTAAAAAAGAATATTCATGTTTCATTAAGCTATACTATCATTATACAATACCTGTAGATAGTAATCTCTAGTACACATCACGTTTAAAACTAGTTTTCCCATTATTTTCGTCTTAATTTTGCTTAAAGCTTATTAAAAAAATTTTTGCTTAAAGTTGTTTCTCAATTTTTTGGAAATTTTTCTTAATTTTCTTATGAGTGACGAATAAAAAAGCTTAAAAATCAAATTAAATACACAAATATATACTTAAACTTGTATGCAACATTTTGGATGTCCGGAAAACCTAAAAGTTCAGAAATATATCCGGAGTTCCGGGAATATCCAAAAAAAGGTAATCCCTGATTTATAAAAGTTTTACAAATCAAGTTGTTAAAAGTTGTATCTATGCTCTTATTTTAAACTTTTACTTTTAAAAAAATCCTTTAAGTCTTGAGACTATTAACTAAAAAATACTTCTGCTCTATCAAACAATTTACCTTAACTTCCACCAATCATTCAAAATTAAAACATAGCATTCAAGATCGCTTTCTGCAAATAATACAAGTATTTATTAAAATTTATAAAAATTAGAGTATAATTTTAGTTTTGATTAAATCTAACATTATTAAATTAAAAATTCATAGTAAAATACATTTAAACCTTTATCATTTTTTTGATTTCCACAGTCTTCCATATCAATTTCTGTTGCAATCCAAGATTGAATAACCTCTCTTTGTAGAACTAAAGAATATTTCAAAAATATTAAACATCCTCCAAGGTATATCAATTAAGTACCCTCCAGGGTATATAAAAAATATACAACTTCAAGTTTCAGCAGAAAGCTTTAACGTTTCAACAAATTAGAAACAAAAGTAAAGTTTAATTTTCAACAAAATCAAACAAGAGGTCACCGGTTTAAAAATATAAAATAATTCACTAAGCAAGCTCATCGCAGAAACTTTTTCTTTAACAGATCAGCCAATTTGTGGAATAGCTTGCCGAACAATTTGGTTAATTCAGAAACAGTTAACAGTTTTAAAGCCGGTCTTGATTGCTGGATGAGCAGCGATCAGATAAATCAGATGTTATAGTAAAATATAATTGATGTAACTGGTTCATACCAGTTACATCAATTAATAATAATAATAATAATAACAACAACTACAATAATAACAACAACAATAATAACAATAATAACAATAATATATTTATATATATATATATATATATATATATATATATATATATATATATATATATATATATATATATATATATATATATATATATATATATATATATGTATATATATATATATATATGTATATATATATATATATATATATATATATATATATATATATATATATATATATATATATATATATATATATATATGTATATATATATATATATATATATATATTATATATATGTATATAAAGCCTTATATAAAGCCTTATATATATAAAGCCTTATATATGTTCCTTATTGTTGCTTAATTAATAGTTAGACATGAATGTGAATGAATGAATTTCTTGAATAAACACATTCTTAAGATTCTTAAAAATGTTGTATTTAAGACCTTGAATAAACACACATTCTTGAATGTGTCTAATTATTAATAAACAAATGCATAAATAAACATTCTTAATAAGAATGTTTGTTTATGTATGTAAGTACAAATTAATTTTAAATATACCTTTGTTTTTTTTTAAAGGTTGAGTTTCAGCATTGTTAGAACCGTACCAATTTTTTGTAACTTTTCTTTTGTATTCTCCAACAACATTAATAGTAACTTTTCTTCGAGCTCGAAAGCTTCGTGAACTTCTAGACGCCATTTAAATAAACTAAAACCTTCGCTACGAAATTTCAACGCTACGAAATTCCAGCCTTATTATTATATTAGGTTTATACGTAAAATACATAATTCGATGACATCGAAAAATAATATCACATGTGTGGCGGTGTGGCAAATACACGGCTGATGAGATCGGAAAACACAGAGATATTTTATTTCGATGAGATCGACAAATTTTACTTAGGATCGGGTGGAATAGGCCTGTAGTAGAGAACGCTATGGGCCGTAATCTTATCACTAGAGTACCAATGTCGCTTGTTGGGCTGGAGCTGGCGTCGAACCTCGGACCTCTGGGTTCTGAGCCAGAACTCTAACCACTGCCCCACGGCTGATTTATAGTTGGTTTCGTCAATAGCTAAATGGTGCCAGCTCTTTCCAACTTCAAGATTTCCTTCTTTCATTTCAAACATCTTTCGCAACTGTTTACAACTGATTCAACGTCTTTTCTTCAAACTTTTTCCTTGGGATATGTCTTTTTCATCAAATAAAGGGTTCGATTGACTCGAAAGTGATGGAGCTTATAAAACGAATTCACATCAGGTGGTACAACATTTGCTGTCATTGCAGAATGGTTTGAATGCAGCCAGTTCTGTGGTACCCTCCTAAGAGCATCGGCTTTATTTTCTGCTGACTTTTCCAGGAAAAGTTCAACAACAGCCAACAACAGTAGCCAAATCATACTTTATGGCAATATATTCAAATCCCCATTTTGTTGCTAGATTAATTTATTTTATCACAGCTTATAACTCTGCAAGAATAATGTGAGCCGTGTCATTTTGTTTTCTCAGCTACGAACAGTCTTCTACTATTTCCCCAGCCACTTCTAGAACTATGCCAACAGCTAAACTGCATGCATGGCACCACGCTGTTGCTTCAGAAGTGTTTTTGACGTTTCATGACTTATGAACGGGATCTTCCATTTGTAAGTCTTCCATTTAAACTGCTTACTAATTTGACAACACGATCGTTCACCATAGAGTCCCATCCACAACTACTCGAAAGCCTTTTAAAATAGCTGCACGGAGAGTGTAACCAATTTTTTATTAGAAAATGTTCAGTCAGCTGTCTGCACCAAGAAAATATTTGCCAACGTGTAATTTTTCCTTCAGTAACTTTGGGTATGTTGTCACGTTTCTAATGGACTTGGTTGCATTGTTTTTACACACTCGCAGTCCAAGCACCGACAAATTTTTCTGGCAACTTAGAATCCAAGCCATATTTTTTCAAGAGTTTTTGAATTCTGCAACTTGACACTATGTTATTATTGACAATGATGTCATCAATAAATGATTCCGTCCCAGACTCGACAACTTTGTCTAAAGATAATACCTTTTTTAAGATTTTAGTCATTATTACATTTAAACCAAAACCCAATCTTGTTAAACAGTAAAGCTGTCCTTCATATTCCACAACTTGATATTTCCATAATGCTTCGTCGACACAAATCTGTAGGTACGCTTTTCTTCCTAACTTTCTCCGGTTACGAAATTTGGTACTGCAAACATCGTCATCTGCAGTATGACTGGATACAAACTGATTTGATGTTTCATTGAATTACTGCCATCAACGGAATGATGCCATAACATCTCTCTTCAAATGGTTTCAGCCGTCCCTGCGCAATCCATTCACTTATTTCCTTTGCGTACTAACTTTTAACGTCTTCAGAGATATGATAGTTTGGAATTTTGTTTGTTATAGTTGGTGGTTCCATCAGCCATTTCCAAGACCTGCTCCAACTGCCATTTTTGAATTCTGCTACGAGGTCTTTATCAATTAGCCTTTGAACAGTCGGCGAGGATGCTTCATTCTTTTTTTCTTGAGAGACTGCTGTAGCGCCAATAGTTAGTTGCTCCACATTGAAGTTTATGATTTCACCGTCTCTCCCGACTATCATTTATAAAAAGATCAGCTAATTTATGCCTTTTTCTTGCTCCAGCCAATTGTACTTTTTATATTGTTGTACTTTGTGAATATTTTTAACGGCGAAATAAACTAATAAACTAAATTAAACTAAATTAAAAAGCTCCTTCAAAATACAGACACTAGTGATTATTTGGTGTTCTCTCTGAGCATTCAATCAGCAAATTTAGAGTATCTTGAATAATCTTTCCAGAAGCTTCTGAACAAACAATTTTTATGCAGTTAACATTCAATAAAAAGGAGGTAGGAGAGGTTTAAAGGGTTTGTTAAAGACAAAAGAGGATTACAGATTTTGCGGTACAGCCTTTTTTGAAATTTACATCTGAACGTGTAACGCAATTTTTATCTGTTGCAAAAGGTCTTATAAGAAATGGACTTCGCTTTTGCCAGCCTGCTACCATAGTTCATTTATTTAATTCTTTAGCTGTTCCAACGTTGTTATACGGATTAGAACTGTGTGGAAGCAGCAATAAGTTTCTAAATAGCATTGATATAGCTGGACGATCTGTCTTAAAATCCTTCTTTAATATTTCAAAGCAAAGTAGAAATTATCTACATTCTTATTTCAAAGTAGACGCTGTGTCAGACATTCTTTTTCGCAACAAGTTAAATCTATTTATCAGGCTTTTAAACAACCCCATATGTTACTCGATTATACGGACTCAGATGCCTTTAATGAATCAACGATCATTTGTGGGTGAGGTAATGATAATGTGTAAGAAAGCTGATATAAACATGCTCCAATTTATGATCGAGGGTAAGAAAATTATAATTGCACGCCCTCAGGAAGCATTGGAGGCCAATGTTGCGGCGATCTTAAAACAATCGTTCCAACACTGGAATTTAAAGGAACAAAGAGAAGTATTTAGAACGCTGATGGAGGAAAACATTCCAAGAACGATGCAAGAAAATACTTAAATGTGCTTTGTTTTTTTTTTAATACTTTTACCTATAGTTTATGTAATTATTGGGTGTTTAAAAGAATAAATATATTTGAGGTTAAAAGAAAGTCACGGCAGTTTCAAATTGATACTTATTGGAACTTTATTCTGAGCATGCGCAATCAACACTTATAAAATATGAGAAAATCAATGGTTTTTTAATTATTTCTTTCTGAAGCTCAGCTACTGCAACTTAATTTTTTTAATGTTTGATATTTTAAATTTTTTCCAAACCAAAGCGATTTGTTTCAGAGATAACTGATAAAACATTGTTTTATAAATTTTGTTGTTGAAATTAGGGTTTTCAACAAAAACTTTTAAATCAAATGGTAAAATATTGTTCTTAAAATTTTTTATTTTGTAATCAGCTATGTTATAATGAAACGAATTTTCTGTATCTGAAAGTAAATATTTTTGTTTTCATCAGTTTATTGTTCTTCCTTTAAACTTAATTTTGGAGACCGATTTTTTTTTTTTTCGCTAATTTTTTATTTATTTTACATAACTGCTATATTTAGATATTTTGTAAACATGGACCATTTAACCAAGTTAAGTCTCATTTGCCGAATTTGTGGAGAACATACAACAAAAGACTCAGTTGATGTGTGTAAATATTCTGAAAGAATTGGAAATACTTTTTATATAAACACCACCATAGACAATAAAAATATTCACCCACAAAAAATGTGTAGGAGGTGCTATATCATTATGAGGAACATTGAAAAAGGTTCTAGCACAAGTCTTAAAGTAGTAAAATGGCCATCACCATGTCCAGACAAGTGTTCCTGTTTCTCCAAAGTTTCTGGAAGGAAAGTTAAAAAATGTAAAGCTGGTCGGTTATGTATAATAGAACAAAATCAGAAGAGATGGACCAGGCCAATCATTAATAACTTAATTGCTAGTATACCAAAACAAACATTGCGTTTAAATGCAATTGATATTGATCCTGTAGCAAATCCCCATTTAGACTTATGTATATGCCAGTTATGCAACAACATTATGTGTAAGCCACTAATGTTAAAAGAGTGTCAGTATTCTTTTTGCTCAGAGTGTTTATTCAGAGAGATTGAAGGAAAGCTGGAAACAGAAGCAAAATGCTTTATTTGTAATCAACACATTCCATTATATACAATTTTAAATTCTGTTAATGTAACACTATTGATAGAGCACATTCTTTTAGGTTGCAATAAGAAATGTAAATTAAAATTTGCAGTTAAAGACAATGACCTTAAAAAATTACACGAAGAAATTTGTATTGGTGAACAGCTATTACCAACTATGATTTGCAAAAAAATTCATGATGGACTTGATACAACTCTAGCTGATGTATTTTTATTAAAAGAAAATGATACTATACCACGGATTGTAGAAGATGCTGCGTTACATGTTATAAAGCAAAAGCTAGTTACCTCTGAATCAAATTTGTTTGCATTTCCTTCCGGAGGACCAAGGGTAAGCACATTTTTAATATGTAGCAAAAGAAAATGAACTATATTATGTTTTGTTATAATTATTAAAACTTTTTTCTAGCCTTTACATTTTACTTCCAACTCAATAGCATATAAAGAGAGCTCAGATGTTAGTAAAAGGACAATTAAGAAAAGACAAAAAGCCGTTATAAATTCTTTAAATGTGATCTCTGGTATGTCCAGCACATCACAACTTCAGCAAACTTCTGCTATTTTGAATTCATTTGAAGTAAAAGATCAAGTAAAAATATTGAAGATGTCAGACATATCTTTATCAGTTATAAGTGCTGAAGAAATGATTAGTATGAAAGCTCATATGGGAATAACATATTCAAACATGAAGATACTTGCAAGGTAAATTATATATATATATATATATATATATATATATATATATATATATATATATATATATATATATATATATATATATATATATATATATATATATATATATATATATATATGTATATATATATATATATGTATGTATATATACGAACCTTAATCAAGCTAAAATGAAAGTGTGAATTAATAAAAAATATATATATATTTAAAATTTTATTTAGATGGCTCAAAACCAAAGATATAGAATGTGCATCAAATAAAAAGCAACGGAAAGTAGCTAAATCCTGGTCTGGAGAGGATTGGGTAGTTTGTAATGCTCCTTTTAACTTTCTTTTAAAAGACTCCAGTGATTCATTTGAAGTAAAAAATGCTCCTTGGGGATACATTAAAGATCTTCCATTACATATAATAAACAAACTCAACCTTCTGAAAAGGTATACATAGTATTTTATTTAAATAAGTGTGTATTTAAATGTTGTCATTTTATATATTTTTTATTAATATTTTATTTACTTTCTCTAAAAAAAAAATTAAATTCATTTAAAATTGAGCAGCAAAAATTTGCTAAAGCATTCCAATATAAAAAATGACGAAATTCACATCAAAATTGATGGTGACTATGGCGGTGGATCTTTTAAGATGTGTTATCAAATTGTGAATGTTGATAAGCCGAATTCCAGAAGAAACACAAATATTTTTAGTATTTTTGAAGCAAAAGGATACAAACCAAACCTTATTGTGGGTCTCTCAATGTTCACACAACAAATTAATCAATTGCAGTCATTGTGTTGGAAGTAGGTTTTATTTTATCATAATTTTAAAAATGTATTTAGATTAATAGATTTTACTCTATTTTGAAAAAAATTATTTTTAGTGAGAAAAAAATAAGAGTATTTATCTTTGGTGATTACGAGTTTTTATGTTCAGGATATGGAATTACTGGTGCAAATGGTATAAATTCAAATAATAAAATTGTGCAACAAACAAAACCACATAACCACAATATAAAATTATTGAAGTTGATGTTTATATTATTTAGTGACATTTTATGACTTTTGATATCCTGTATTTAAACTGATATTATCATATTAGGTTGACATGCTTGCTTGTTTTGTCATATAACTCGTGCAGGTATGAAAAAGTCAGATATTCAACAAAACACAGTCCTTGTTCCAATCGCACGCTGGAAACACTTGATACAGATCTCCAAAAATTCATTCAAAAAGGTCGAATACCAAAGTTAGCAAAGTATTGTAACAATGTCATTGATTCTCCACTTTTCAATATTCCTTTAACACAAGTATTACACTTTTTTATTATATTACATTTTTACTTGTTTATATAATTGTAAATATTTTTTTATATTGATTTTATGAATCTAGGTTGGCATTCCATTGTTGCATATCTCATTGGGGATTTATCTTAAATTTTTTAATATGCTGGAAGATGGCTGTCATCTCATAGATATAAAAATTGCAGCTAAAATGTGTTTAAAAAATCAGACTGTAAACAACAAGAGTTTTGATGAATATATTGTAATTCAGTTAAGAATATATGAACAAGAAAAAGCTATTGCTGAATATTGTGAAAAAATAACACTTATTCATGAAGCAATGTCAATACAAGTTCTACGTTCTCCTGAAAATAAAGAATATCTATATGAAATCTTTCAGCCCAGAGTAGTTCATTTTATGAAGAAGAAAAATGCTAAGGTATAATAAGTTTATATTTGAAATAATGAAATAAAATTTTCTATAATTCTATGTGAATGAAACATAAATCAATCTAAGAGCAAATGTTTATATGTGTGTGTGTTAATGTAAATCTGTTTTTCATATAGATTATTGAATTAGAAGAGTTAAAAACTAAAACATTTGAAAAATCGCATGGACCACTTGTGAAAAAACTTGATGAAGTTCTATGTGGGCTTAATGTTCAAAGACAAGCTTACCACGGAAAATGTTTTATTGGGAATCACGTTCATAAAATGTTAAAGGTATTTCTATACATATTTTTGCATACTTGTAAATATGAATTTTATAAATATTTTCTCAATCACATAGTTTTGTAATGCATAGAGGTACTAATTTTGTAAATCATAAAATTATCTTTTATCTATTAGTTAAACAGTGTCCTAGATCTTTGCAATTCGATACCTAAGACAGTAAGCGATCTTGGATTTATTGATACAGATGTTTTTATAGAGGCAAAAGTCTTGAGTGAGAAATTTGTTGAGTTGTTCTTTAAATACGCAACATGTTACAACTTTATGAATTCAAGTGAAATAATTAATAATAATCCATTATTAGAGTTAGGTAGAAATATATTTTTATTATGTTACTTGTATTAAAATTCCTCTTGCTTGCATAATTATTCTTTCTTTGTTTTCTATTTACGTTTTCTTTTTTATTTATTTATTTTGGATTTAGAAGGAGCCATTGGAGAATTAATGAGTTACTTTCGTAAAACTTGGCCGAATGAGTCCATTACGCCAAAAATGCATTTATTAGAAAGTCATTGTGCTGATTTTATTAGAAATTGGGGTTTGGGTCTCGATATTTATGGAGAGCAAGGTTTAGAAAGCATGCATGCTGAATTCAATAGTATGAACAGCACCTTTTGCCATATGAAAGGGAAGCAAAGACTAGAAAGTATTCTGTCTAATCACTACATCAAAAACTCCCTAGAAGCATTGGAAATTAGACCTACTATTCAAGAAAGAAAATCTTATAAAAGAAAAGCCTCGTGATATTTATTAAATAATTGTATATATGATTGTAATTGCATAACGACTTAATTTTAATGTTTATTGTAAGAAAAAATATATATACTCTTCTTCCGAATATAATAAATATTTAATAAAATAAATAGTTAATCTTTTGGTTACTAGACAAAAACGAATATTTTATTTCATTAGATTAGATAGATGTGTTATTCCTTACGTTTTCTTTGACATCTTGGAAAGTAACCATAGTTACTTACAGAAGTTTTAGGCGGAAAACGTATATTTTTTTTTTACAAAAAAAGTTCAAAAAATCTACAAAAAAAAGTAATCGGTTCTTCAAAATTTGACAGAATCTTTAAATACCTTAACTCTTTCTCTTAAACATTTCAGCTTTTCTCAAAAAATTCATTTAAGTACTTATTTATTAAGAATTACTGACTTCCTTAATATTTATAACTAAAGAAACTGTAAAGTTCTAGAAATTATAAAAGTTGGATAAATGTTTTTTTATATATTTTTTTTTTATAAAAACTAGCATAACTTAATATTTATTAAAATAGAAAAATTTAATTACTCATTTTTATCAAAAAGTATATAAAATTAGGTTATTAAAAAAAGTGTTTTTAAAAGTTTTTTTTGCGTTTCGCATCTTTATTGAATAGTTAAGCAAATAAATATTTGTCAATGCGCATGCCCATACCCACGCCCATACCCACGGCAGTTTCGTAATGTTCCATTACGAAACTGCCGTGAAGTGGAGAAAATAAAAAAAAACAATTATATTTTAAAAAATTGAGTTATTAAGAAAATGCTAAATAATGTTTAGACTTTGCCGAGAGCCTTCACGCACTTATATTATTAGTGAAAAAACTATTTTTTTAAGGTACCTTTTTTATTTGGCGCTCTTTGGACATATGCCACCCGGGACAAACTGTCCCTTTCGCAATCCTTTTCCCTCTCTCGACGCCCCTGGAAGGCTTTTTGGTAGGCAGTACGACAAACTTTTGTTATTAAGAAATAAGTATGTGTTAAAGAATAGCTGGCAGTCGTTATACATCGTGTACTTGAACCTATAAAATAAACTATATAAATGTTTACGTAAACAGCACGAAGTATACCTACAGCAGTATACTTAAAATAAAACAAAGCGTATTTAAAACAGGAAGAAGTATACTTATATATTTAAGTTATACTAATTTTGCAACTTTTTAAACTTTTATATGGTTAGTTGTACTTAATTACCTGAAACTTTTTTAAACGAATTTTTGCCGGTAAATAAGTACAGTTTCTTTAAATATGACTTTAAGGAGAAAATAATTTTTCATAATTCTTAATTTGCATGATATAAACATAATTCGTAATTTTATTAACTCAAACCTCTTTAATTTGTATTATATAAGAATAAATATTCAGATTAAAGTAGAATAAATCTATGAGTTTAGTTCTATGAATTTAATGAAACTAAAAATCTATGAATTTAATCTATGTTTCTAACTAAAGTAATTTTTAACATTAAATACTTTTATTCAATGCTTTAGGGTAAATCGATATATTTTTTTTACAATACACTTAAGTTGAAAGTAGTTAAATTCTTACATCATAATGATTTATTTGGGAATTAAATGCAACACTCATATGCATAGTTCGTAATAAAAACTGTTTGGAAAACTTTTTGGAAATTTTTTTTAATTTGAAATTTTGCAATTTTTTTGTTATATATACATATAGATTAGGGTGCATCAAACGCCCCATACTTTCAAAAATTGATCTGTCCTTATTCTTAAAGCTTTTTATTGGTACTCACAAGACACTCTGTTAAATTTTTTCAATTAAAAGTTGAAAAAATTAGTTATGATTGTTTGTTAAAAATACCTTGAAAAAAAATTTCGACCAAAAACCATGAAAAAATGTTTTTTTTTAATTTTTTGCTATTTTTTTTTTTTTTTTTTTAAATTTAAGTTTTCATGCTATATTTTTCTATACAATGTTCTTATATCCGAAGATATTGTTGGCTTAGCATAGGGTCAGCCACAAATAGTTATTAAGACTAATCCAAAGTGGCGTCCATTATTGACCAACATTTTAGCGTACCGAAGTACTACTCAAGCGCTGAGTTGGCGGTGGCGGGATTTGAACTCGTATCGTTAAACAGTCCGGGTTTTCACTTTTCCTTTAACGCTCTAACCATCTGAGCTATCCCGCTAAAAAATAATTATTATGTAATAAAACTTATAATAATAAATCTTATGTAAAATTTTTATTGTTTTTGAAATTTTTTATAAAGTTTCGCTTCTTTTGAGACCCAACATGACATACATTTGAAAAACTTTTTTTTCTTCTGTTTAGGGTTTCGTCGCAAGTTTCAGATTTGAGGTGGCTCCCCTAAATCTCATTCAATTTTGAAAAAATTTAACGGAGTGTCTTGTGAGTACCAATAGAAAGTTTTAATAAAAGGAACAGATCAATTTTTGAAAGTATGGGGCGTTTGATGCACCCTAAAATATATATATATATATATATATATATATATATATATATATATATATATATATATATATATATATATATATATATATATATATATATATATATATATATATATATATATAACAAAAAAATTGCAAAATTTCAAATTAAAAAAAAAAATTCCAAAAAGTTTTCCAACCAGTTTTTATTACGAACTATGCATATGAGCTAAACATTTTATGTAAAGCCAATTTATTTTACCGTGCTTGTTTCAACGGATTTTATAATTAAATAAAAATAGTTTTAAACAGTTTTATAATTTTTTTTCGGAATAAAAATAAGCACTCTTCCATCTTTCGTAGTTGATGGTTGCAATATGTTCAACTGGAATAACCGGTAGTGGTGGTGGTAGTTGCAAAATTTCATGCAAGTTTTTGTATTTCTCATCAGTGCTAGCATCAACTGTAAAGCTTAGTACTTCATCATTTTCAATTGGTTGCAACCCGTTTAATGCTTTTTTAGTTCTCTTCAAATAAGTATCAGGAGAATAGTCATTATTGAACATATCTTTGTATGCTTGCTCTCTCGTTTTATTTTGGAATTCAGCAATTTTTTGAAGTCGTTTAATACGTCTTTTGACTAACTCGTCTTCTGATAAAACTAATAAGATAAAAATATAGTTTGGTAATTGTAATCTTAAATAGTCTCTCACTTCCCTTCGTAAAACTACTCCAGAAACAACAACGTTGGGGCATTTCTCGTGCGCATCACTGATTAAACCACAAAGTGCTTGATAATACGGTTTCCAAAGATCACTTGGTGCTGATTTATTTTCAATCCAATAATTGTTATGCGCTTCAAACAAATTATTTTTCAAGTCGATATGTTCAGGGTCATTTGAAAGAACGAATGTATCTCCGTCAACATGAGAAAATCCACACACCATTTCTAAATAATCTCCAAAAAAGGTTTTCCCTGAACCAGGACATCCGCTAATTAAAACAGTTCTCTTTGTCGTCATCTAAAAATGCTCAATTAAAAA